CTAAATGGATCTTTGGAGCTGAGGATCAAGCTAACAATCAAAATGTGTTAGCAGAGATCCAGATATGGCGTCAACAAAGTTCAAATAATTATAATAAAGTTTCATTTAGTTCAATCACACTCAATGATGTTACAATGATTGGTACTAATCTCTATGAGTTTATTCCTCAGACTCCACTGCAGTTCCAGGAAGGAGACATATTTGGTGCTTATATTCCTTCACCAAGTTCAAGTTGATTAGTATTTAATGAACAGATACAGAGTGGCCCACTTAATAGGTTTAGAGCTGGTGGTGCATTATCAACTATAACAGGATCACTGGATTTTAATGCTAATAATTATCCATTAGTTGCTGCAGAACTCAGTAAGTATAAACATTACCATAATAATGCATTGTAAATACTACTGTATATAGGTATTTCTACTACTGCAGTTAGTAGCAGCAGTATGATAACTGACACATCTACTGCTAATACTGGAACCACTACTAGTGGTAAATATCATATCTGTCTATAGTATTTTTATTGTTGTTGTATAGCAGTTTCGTCCTCTTCAGGTACTATGTCTTCTGTATCAAGTACTAGTGGCACTGTATCAGTATCAACATCACAATCACTATCTGTGTCAGTATCAGTATCATCTATATCTACATCAGTATCAAGATCTGCATCAGTATCAGTGCCTGCATCAGTGTCAAGATCTGCATCAGTATCAGGATCTACATCAGTTTCAGGATCTCCACCAGCATCAGGATCTGCATCAGTGTCAAGATCTGTATCAGTATCAGTGAATGCATCTAACAGTGTAGCCCAAGCTCCTTCAAGGTCATCTGTTGGTGCTATAGTAGCAACAGTTGTAATACTACTCCTCTTCATTCCTACCATAACTGCTATCATCATTATTGCCATAGTCATCTTTATTAGGAGAAGGAATAAAAATGATCACTCATCAAAATCAAATGGCATAATAAATATGGCTAAAGACCTTGTCCTTCAACTCATACCACGAGACAGGGTTGCAACTTGCAACACTAGAAAACCCACTGTATCAAGGTAAATGTTTAATGTTGTGTTATTAACTTATTACTAGAAATTTCTGTATGTAGATGGATTCATCAATGCTGGTAATGTACATTTGTAGTCAGAGGTTAAGCATCAATATGAATTTGATGAGAGTATCCAGAAAGATGAGCCAAAGTATTCTGAGCCAGGATATGTAAGCATATTGCATGATTTGACACTTAATCATTATAGCTAATAATAACAATGACCATAGTAGCTGGTCACATGCTTAAAAAAATAAGGCAATGTATGCACATAATTAATGATTATTTTAGATGAAGCCTATTATACAACCCCAGCCATAAATTGAATTCAAGGCTAGATCTAGTACAACACATCCAGATATGGTGAACTGTTAATCATTTTAGGCATGCATAATTACAATTTCTAGACTCAGACTTTAGACAGCCCTGCAGGATCAGCAAAACCAGTAAGTGTTGTAATTTTTGTTAGTGGTAGATCTATGCTTTCTCAACACCCTAATAGCCTGTATTACCAAGGAGTGGAACAATGGGTGCAACTGATAATCCTTTTTTCACTGAAATTGAAGAGTACTGGCAGCCTGGTAGAGACTGTGAAGTTATTTATAAATAATTCAAAAACTACAAATACAGAGAAGTGCTTCGTGGTCAGATAAAGTAAGTAGACATTTTAATTTTTTTAATGTGAATCATTTCATATGCCAACATAGAATAACAGGCCGTCTTGGTTCAGGACAGTTTGGTAGTGTTAGTAAAGGTGTATGGGAGTCTCCTACTGGTCCAGTAGATGTTGCCATTAAAACACTCAATAATAACACATCAGAGGATGAGAAGGTCAAGTTTCTTCAAGAGGCAGCCATTATGGGTCAGTTTCATCATCCTAACATTGTCAAGTTACATGGAATGATCACTGTTGGAGAGCCAGTGAGTTAATTAATATAATTAATAATTATTTTATTATAATTATTGAGAACAGATGATGATAGTACTGGAGTTAATACCTCATGGAGACATGAGACAATACCTTCACACTCTCCAACCACAGTATGTACTATCAGTAGATTATGTTATTAATATTGTGTATTATAGACCAGGAGAACTGGTAGCATCAACAGTACCAGGTCTACTGCTCAGCTTCTGTCGTCAGATTGCTTCAGGTATGGAGTACTTGTCTAAGAAAGGGTTTGTACACAGAGACCTGGCTGCTAGGAATATACTAATAGCTGATCACGAAATGTGCAGAGTTAGTTATATGCTATTTAAAATTGTATACTTTTTTTTCAGATTGCTGATTTTGGAATGCCCAGAGACCTGCATGATGAAAACTACTGTGTTTCAAATGCAAAAATGATTCCAGTCAAATGGACAGCTCCTGAGGTGTGCTTCATTTTACAATTATTTCAATGCTTTACCTGTTTCTTATAGGCATTAAACTACAGGCGTTATTCCAGTGCTAGTGATGTATGGAGTTATG